GTAGCCCTCCGCTGGACTCTCTCCAGTAGCTCCTCATCTTTCTTGAACTGGGGAGCCCAGAACTGGACACAGTACTCCAGATGGGGCCTCACTAGGGCAGAGTAGAGAGGGAGGAGAACCTCCTTCAACCTGCTGGCCACACTGCTCTTGATGCATCCCAGGATCCCATTGGCCTTCTTGGCAACAAGGGCACACTGCTGGCTCATGGACCTGGGGAGACCATCGCTGGCTGGGAAGGTGCTTCCTCCAAGCCCGCGCCCCAGTTGCCTGGTGCAGTGCTGTCTCCACATGTAGGACCCAAAAGCCCTGGCCGGAGAGCTGGAGAGAAGTTAGCTCTGAAACGTGGGGAGAGAGATGTGCTGCTGTTATGTGATTGTGCGCTGGGGCTGGCCGCGTGCTGCTGACGGGGCTTCAGAGAGACCCGGACTGCTCAGCAGAGTGGGGGAGTCAGGCTGGTGATCTTCTCTGGAGTAGCGTGCATTAACAAGCGCTCAGGGCAAAGGGGAGGCCATGGGTCAGAAGTGAGCAGTTAATAGCCCTGAACTGTGCAGATGGAAAGCTGTGGGCCAGGTAGGCCAGGCCGCAACTGCGGGAGCAGCGAGGGGTCTAAAAGTGACCACCGCAGAGGGGGAGCCTGGCACCTCTGGGGGGAAACTGAGGGCTGATGGCAAAGTAAAAACAATGCCCTTTCAGGCAGCTGGAGTTGCAAAGTTAAGCAGACCTGTAGAGATGGGAGTGCTGCTCGCCAGAGTGTGAAGCACCCTCTAGACAGTCCTTTGCTCACAGTGACGTTACAGAAATGCTGAATACTTGTAGCAACTGGTGCCCCTGCAGTGGCGGTGGCAGTGCTGGGAAGCCAGAGCAAATGGAATACTGCTTTTCACAGAATCACAGAACGTTAGGGGCTAGAAGGGTCACCTACAGCAGGCTGCACAGGACCTTGTCCAGGCGGATCTTGAATATCTCCAGAGAAGGAGAATCTACAGCCCCTCTGGGCAGCCTGTTTTTCTTGGGAGAGCAGATTTCTGGGGAGTTTGGGCTCTGTGCTACTTGCAAGCAATGCCCTGCACAAGGAAGGAAGACTTTGGGATCCCCTAGTAGGCTATGTAGGCAGTGGCCTGATCCTGCTGATCCCACAGGGGTGCGAGACATCCCCACAGAGTGACTGGGAAGAAGGAGGTTGTCGACTGCAGTTGCTTGGACTGCTGGGTTATGTTTACAGGCAAGGGGGAGGGGACCCTGAAAAAGTGGTGATCACCGATGCCACGTTCTGAAAGCTCCAAGGTCTGAGCACAGTTATTCAGTTACTGCCACCCCTCTGGTATCACCTGATAAGCTGGTGGGATGTCAAGGAGTGACTTACATCTGCCGTACTGGAGGGAGCACGCCAGAAGACAGGCAGAAGATTAGCAGCATGGCAGAGGATAATGTTGGGAGTCCTGTAGTGTGGTTGACCTTGGAAAAAATTTTAGAAGGGGTTGGAAAGTATATGTTAAGGTTGCTGCAGTGTTGATCCTGATAATTCTGTCTGCTGGGGAAAGGTGGGTTTGTATTATGTGTTATGTTCACACTGAAGAGATGTTAACTACATCTGGTCTGCAGTGACAAGGGATGGAGTTAATAATGAATATACATGAAGATTGTGATGATGTTAAAGAAAGACTTTATGTAAGGGTGAAACAATTCTTAATATATCTTTCAGTGAGGTGACGAGTGGAATATAAAGGATATATATTGCAGGGGGATGGCAGTGGTGACCTGTGTGGAGACCATGGACTGCTCAGTGGCAGTCAGAACCAATTCCAGCTAGCTCCAAAACTGATGTAAACACCCTATCTCATGCCAGAACTTAAATCCATGGTGCCCTGGCTCAGACACACTGTTGGAAACATAGGTGCACTCTTTGAAGGAGGTCCATGCCAAAAGGGCTTACTTCTGAAGGGACTGCAGCTGGTGGCTGAGCCATGCTGGAGCAAGGAAATGCCTGAAGGCACCATGGCCAGTGGGTGACCCATGCTGGAGAAGGTATGCCACTGAAAAGACAGTGGTCTAAACCTTTGGCTCTCCCTGCACCATAGCAGATACCGTACCTTTATTGTTCAATAAGAATGTGTATTTGGTCTCAGCAGAGCTGTCTCGTCTCAGACTGGGGGTTGATGAGGGTTTTATGGGTTGCTTCCTTTAGGAAGCTGCGAAACAGATGTCCTTGGATTACATGTTCATGAATTGAAAGTGGAAATTTTGGAAAGAAGGTCCTAAGGTGCCTCTCTTCTTGAACAAAAGGTTTTTACCATTTTCCCACGAAACCCCATGTGTAACTTTATGTTTATGCGCTTGGTCACCTGCCCAGCAGGAGGAAACAGAAAGGTGACACAGCCACAAATGCAAACACCTCCTCATCTCGGCCGCTGTTGTTAAAGGAACCTTGATTGTTCTGATGGCTTGAGTCTGAGCGTCGGGTGAGAAGAAAGTTTGGGGAATCATCCCTTGAGACCTGCGCTTGTGCATCTCCCCTGTGCCAGGTGTGCTCTGCAGCGGGTGTCTGTGCACGCAGGGTTGCGTGGGGAGCTCACGTGCCCGGCTCTGCTGTCACTGGGTCGCTGGGACTTGTGTCTCTGCACCGTGCCCTCTGGGGCCAGGATCTGCTGGAGGTGGAGAGGCCAAAGGGCTTGGTGGGCTCGGGGCCCCAACCTGCAGCCCTGGAGCTGTGGGGCCAGGGCAGTGGTGGGAGGGGGTGGCTGGATCGACAGGGGGCTGCCAGAGGAGATGGCCGAAGCGGGACAGGCCATCATCCTGAGCACCCACCGCTGGGGACGGTGGCGCCCTCTGGTGCCCGCAGGGGCCAGCGCCGGGTGGCTCTGCTGTCCCAGGGAGGATCCGTGTCCCCCAGGGCAGGGGACTGCAGCCCACCTGTGCGTTATGTCACCTTTGGTCACAGGAGAGGGGCTGCGTGAGGTCTGGAGAGCCCAAAGAGCAAGCTGGATCTGAACCCAGGGCGGCTCCCACCGGGGGTTTAACGAGTCGTGCTGGAGGCTGCTGCCATTTTTCGGCCCAGAGCTCCCTTGGCCGTAAGTGGAGCTCAGAGGTTAGCCCCAAGGTCAGTACGTAAAGTTAGGGGAGATGGTTCCCCAGCAGAGAGACTTCAGCAGCTGGCTGTGACTTAGGAGCAAAGGCCAAGTACAGCTGTGCAGAGTTGGTCTGAAATACAAAGCGTTCCTTAAAAACAGAACAGCAAGGAAATTCTCATTTCTTTTGTTTGGCTGCAATAAACGAACATATATTAGTTCTGTACACAAGTACTAAAAATACTTGTACTGCATCCCTCTGTCACATTTTATTCCTGGTTCAGGGGGTTGTACATTACCTTCTTTTAGAAGTTTTAGTTTGAAAAAAGAAAAAAACAACAAAACAGTTTTATCTGCAACCGGCAGGATATTGAACTCAAAAATAATGGGGCTAGTAACGCATGAAATCAGTTCCTAAACTCAAATGGTATTGGGGGTTCTAGCATGCTCCTAGCAAGAAGGTCTAGGCAAGAGCATAAACAGTCACACCTTCAAAGTTAAAGATCTTTTTGATCAGGCAGGAATCTTCTCTTTCATTACTGCATTTAAAGATTAGTTTTCCTCAAAGATAGGCATTTGAATGAAATTGCAGTGCAAGTTCTGAGGCTTTTTTTTTTCCACTTGTAAACAATTTTCCACATGAGAATAGAATTTTACAACTAGCGATAATATGAAGCACGTA